CCTAACGGCTAAATTGGCACTGACGCGAGAAAGAAAGGCAGCCAAGAAAATGGAAAAGAGAATTGATATCCAGTACACATACTTGTCTTACCCCATTTGCGTGGGGAAGAACTCAGACTGGGTGCCATTGTGAAGTTGCCTTACAATGACAATGAATTTTGATGGGCAGCCAGAACGACTGAGGGTCCACCAGAGTGTTTCCGTGTTGCCCGAGTCCAAGGCCTTAGTAAGGTCAGTGCAAGCCAATGTGCAAGTCACGACGCTGTTTTCTGCACTTTTCCTGTATCTGGCCGGCAAAGCCATCTCCATAAATGCTGTTTCTCTCCTCAACAGGCTTGCCCTTCCAGAAGAAAGTATAGCCGGAACCCTGTTCTGTGAGTCGACCCTCGTCTGGAAGCCGGGACTCACTAATGACTGCTATGTCGATGTTATACCTAGACAGCTCTATTGCCACAAGGGTGGTTCATCTTTCAGGACTCTCATTTGTGACAGTATTCAAAAGGGTCCTAACATTCCATGCAACGACCATACGAGGTGATTATGTTTCGACTGCATAAGGATGACCTTACTGCGTGCGGTTGCATAGTCACGTTGGTTCTTCAAGCAGGCTTTTTTAGCGTTCCTTTTCTAGCCCCCGCCCCATGTGGGGTGAGCAGAGTGGCTCTTGGTAAGGGCTGCTCAGTCGCACAGACAGGACTGAATTGCACTGCTACCTACATCCCAATGCCGTCCATGTGCAGAGTTGTGACTAGAGACTCCCGGCATTCATCTCTGCTTGTCCCCGTCGCCACTCATCTGTAGCCATAGGACTTTTGGGGGTATAGGAGTTTTGATGATGATAAAAAGTATGATGAGCTGGATGATGGTTGGGCATGAGTTGATTTTTGTGGTGTGACAAGAGCGCAGGCTATAACTACACACACACACGCACACACACACACACACACACACACGTGATTTTACCAAAACTAATCGAAATATCCACTAATCCAACGTACAGTACAGTACCTTCGACTAGTAGATAGCTTACTGGGTGTTAGCTAGTTCGATTGGACAGGGCCTTTTGTGGTAAAAACAAAAATAGGATGAGGGTGTGTTTGCCAGGAGCTGGGGTGGGGGATATAGTTGACAGGATGGACAATATCTTGTCTGGTAATGGGAACAAACCCATTATCTGCCTCAGTGCAGGAGGCAATGATATTGGCCGGTGTAGGAGCGAGGAACTTCTTGATAAGTTCAAGGCAGCCATAAATCGTATTAGGACTAAGGGAGGGATCCCTATCATATGCGGTGTCCTGCCTAGAAGGAGAGTTGGCAGTGAATGGTTGTCAAGGGCAGTTGGTGTTAACGACCGTCTTGACAGATATTGCAAGTCAATATCAGTCCCATTCATTGACAACTGGGACAACTTCTATGGCAGAAGGGACCTTTATGCTAGGGATGGGGTGCACCTGTCTAGGGATGGAGTAGCAACCCTGGCTGGGGCTCTAGAGGGGGCAGTTCAAAAGATATCGAAGTCTTTAAACTGCTAAGAGAACATAGGGGCACGGGGGTGGAGGAGACTGCAGTGGGAGCGGGTAAACAAGGCGAAAGATTACAGGGAAATAGTGTTAGGAATGATGACAAAACTAAATTAGACAGGGAGTTTAAAACTAAACGCGGTAAGGGAAGGACTCAGAACACGACTAACTTAAATGTATACTACGCGAACAGTAGAAGTATGAGAAACAAAATGGATGATATTAAGGCCTTGGTATGTACCGAAGAAATCGATATAATTGCATTCACTGAAACATGGATCAACCTAGACACACGTGAATTACCAGTCGAATACCAAATTGCGGGTTACAAACTGTTCCATACCGATAGGCAGACCAGGAAAGGAGGCGGAGTAGCAATCTATGTTAGGGATAATCTGAAGTGTGAAATAAATAAGGAAATAAAAACTGAGAGGAATACAGAAACAATTTGGATAGAATTAAGCGACGGTCGGGAAAAATTAATCACAGGAGTAATATATAGACCCCCCAATCTTGATAGCGTCAATGAGCGACTTATCTGGGATGAAATGCGCAGGGCTTCCATACACAACAAAGTCTGTATAGTAGGCGACTTTAACCTTGGCCAAATAGATTGGACTGTTCTGACGGGTAACTCAGAATCAGAGGATTTTCTCGAGACGATCCAGGACTGTTTCCTAAGTCAACATATAACCGAACCCACACGGGGTAATAATATACTGGATTTAGTTCTGTCAAACAGAGAAAACCTCATTAGCAATGTCGAGGTAGGAAACGAACTTGCAAACAGCGATCACAAAGAAATTCGATTCCAGTTAGATTTTCAGGGCAGACGTAAGGAAAATTCCACTAAAGTACCAGATTTCAGAAGGGCAAACTTTGACAGTTTAAAGAGGCAGCTGAGAGAGGGGGTGTCGCGCTTGGCCGTGAACCTGACAGATGACACGGACCTGATAACGAGATCTGAGATTGCCGAGTTCCACGACAATTAGATAGTGAGTTACTTAATGCACAAAAGGCAGAACATACCATAGCAAAAAACTCTACAGATCAGACAACAATGACCCTAAATGAAATAAATACACTTAAAGAACATCATTGGCCAAAGGAAGGAAGAGAGAAGCGGATAAATCGCGGGCGAATTCACCTCCCGGACTATTATAAGGTATTGGCGAGGTAGGGTTAAAAACTAGAGCAAGGAAAGCAAAGAGGGTCGAATGAGGTAAGGATAGCAAGGGAGGCGAAGACAAAACCCCTGTGTGATTTTACCAATGTATCAAAATTAAAAACACGGAAAAGATTGGACCAATACGTGTCAGACTCAAGTAGCCTACTGATAACGACGGAGAAAATGAGCAATAATTCTGATTAAATATTTTCAACAGTTTCACCACCGAAAATTTAAAACATGATACCCGAGGCAACTGACTCTATTCAGAGAGAGAAGAAGAAAACAAATTATGAGATAGAAGACTAGTAACGATGTTAGTAAGCAAATAGACAAACTAAAGCCTAATAAGTCACCTGGTCCTCGATGAGATATTTGCTAGAGTATTAAAGGAATGTAAGGAAGAGCCAGTATGCCCTAGCAAAGTTGGTGGTTTAACATGTCCCAAAAACAGGTGTAGTACCAGAATCCTGGAGGATAGCGAATGTAATACCGGGATGCCAAGAAGCGATAGATCACTATCCTCTAATCCACGCCTCCAATCAGCCTAACATCAATAGTAGGCAAATTACTGGAAGCAATCATTTCAAACTATATTCGAAATCACCTGGAGAAGCACCTATTGATCAATGATTCCCCAGCATGGCTTCTGGCTGCCGGACGTTTGCCTAACTAATCTATTAACATTCTTTTCATCAGTTTTCGATTCAGTGGAATAGTGCAATAATTATGATGTGGTATATCTCACTTTAGCAAAGCTCTTCGACAGAGTCCCCACGAAAGACTAATTAGAAAGGTAGAAGCTCATATCAAAGCAGACATCCTAAATGGATTAGGCGGTTATTATGACAGGAAAACAGCGAAGTATATTAACGTGCACTAAGTCCTATTGAGCAACGTCACAAGTGGAGTTCCCGTTGCTCAGTACTGGGACCATTAGTTGTTTATTATATACATAAATGACATAGATATCGGCATAGACAGCAACATAAGTAATTTGTTGATGACACTAAAATAGACGGTTATCAACCCGACTTAGACCTCGGCAAAACTACAGGAAGATCTAAACAAATTTTCGAATGCTCTGAAAAATGGCAGATGAAATTCAATGTCGCATAAATGTAAAAGTACTCAGTATAGAGATGTAAAACAGGGAAACCAGATACCAGATGAAACAAACGATGCCAGAGAAATCCGACTGCGTAGAGAGATTTAGAGTAATGATAAGAGGGAACCTTGGGTCAAGTAAAACAATGTGTTTTTGCTCTAAATAAAGGCCAATAAAGCACTTGGGTTCATACAAAGGAGTGTTAGTTACAAGACTAGCGAGGTCATCCTAATACTGTATCTGCTCTTGTGAGAAAACACCTGGATTATTTAGTTCAGTTCTGTCACCGTATTACAATGGATATAGAATCCTTGGAAAGAATTCAGAGGAGAATGACAAGACTAATCCCAGCATTAGGAACTTGAGTATAGAGACAGGTTAAAAGTATCTAATTTGGTAATTCCTCTAGTAGATGTAGAGCGAGGGGCGACCTGATAGAGGTGTATATGGCAGGAAGAAACAAAGTGGACATTAAGCAAAGGTACTAAATATCCCAAACCAGGAGCGAACTCGTAATAGTTTTAAATTAGACAACGATTTAGGCGTGAAATAGGGTAAACACTGGTTTGAAAACAGAGTAGGATGAATGGAACAAGTTACCAAATATCATCATTAACTCGAATACCTGGAATTGCTTCAAACGAAGGTTGATGCTCATATGAGCAATAGGGTTGGGTGTAAACGGGACTGCCCAGCATGTAAAATAATAAAACTGCTGCAGCCTCCATTCTGCAGTTCTTGGTGCTCTTATTGTTTCTTGAAGGTATTTGCTAAATGCTTGATAGACTTCACCTTTCATTGCCCTATCTAATGTTGCCTGAGCAATATTTGTTATTTGATTCGTTTCCTCCAATTATAAATTCAGCGGATTCTCTTGTGGTATTTTGTAATGATGTGAAAATACTGGATGAAAAATATAATTATTTCTGTCTTCTATAATATATATATATATATATATATATATATATATATATATATATATATATATATATATATATATATATATATATATATATATATATATATATATATATATATATATATATATATATATATATATATATATATATATATATATATATATATATATATATATATATATATATATATATATATATATATATATATATATATATATATATATATATATATATATATATATATATATATATATATATATATATACTTCTTTTCGGTCTTACAGAGAACCTCGGTGATATAGTCGTTCTCTACGCCAATCAAGATGTCAAGAAACATCAAGCAGTTTTCGGGTCAAATGGACGCAGTCCCAATAGGTCCTAGTCCTAACCTTACCTAACCTAACCTAACCTAACCTCTAGAGAGTTTTATCTCTCTCGTAATCGTGGAATTACTAATCTTATTACGCACCTAAAGACCATATTTGTTGAAGCACAGAAATAACATTATAACAAAAAAATAACCTAACCTAAGGTAGCATAACCTAAATTATCCCACTTTAAAGTAAACTATCCTATGCCACACTCGCCACCAAAGTTAGAGTATCCAGATATATAATACATGAAAATAAATACGTTTATATAAAAAGACGCAGAAATTACAAAGAAAACTTCATTGTTTTATGTGTAGGAAGTGGCTATTCAGCTAGGTCGGACTGTAAAGTCACCTACTGTTTTTTGTATAGCAGGGTGGTTTATTGTTAGGTATATCAACGATATACCTAATATAACCTTAACCAAACCAAAGCTAACCTGTTCTAGCCTCTATCAATTAATATTATATAAATATGGGCTGAGGACATATATTCATTATATACATTCTATCACTCAGACTATCGAGCATGCAGCTACATTAGCAGATGTTCTGCCCCCCCCCCCGTCCCTTCTGAGGGTGGACAGTTTGTTTGTTTCACACATTCTCGGGTTACAACCCATAAATCTTCTCAGCCCTCCATGTGAGAATAGGCCTGTGTAGATTTTATGTCTGTGTTGACGTATAGATTCTCCCCAACAACCAGATGAAGAGAGGTCAGCTAGTTCACACAGTTTCCCACAGTTCTCGCCAAGACACCATACCAAAAAGATGTGTTGTGAGCTTAGCTCCCCAGGCTGTATCTCACTCTAATTATATCAGCTAATTACAAGCTAATAGCTAATGCTCAGTAGTCTGTCAGCAAGCTACCTTGTAACTATCAGACTATCCAATATAACTAGAAATCACCACGTGTGTTTACATTAAACCAAGAAACAACAAGTAAAGATAACAGAACCTGTGTGCACTTGTGTAACTTACAAGCTAAGATAATTATAAGTGCAACCCAGGGCGGCTGTGACGATTCAACTATCAACCAATCTACGACTGTATCAAAGGTGACACGCCGTGAGATTACCTAATATCTCACCCAGCTTCATCAAAGTTACCAGCGACTACCCTACACTCATTCAGGCAAGTGTTAACAAGTGAGATAGTTCGATATCAAACCACAGCCCAAAAAATGGTGGCAGCAATGGAAATCGAACCTACAATCAACTTAATCAGTGCTTCAAGTTCCAGTGATTTCTAGTAAAATAGAGAGAGAGAAATTTTATATGTACCAAAAAGAACAGACCAAACAAACCTAACCTAACCTAACCTAATCAGGTGACCCGGTACACACATACTATTTACTACTACTTTGCTGTCACTCGGAATCGAGTATGACGATCATCCAGCTAGTATAAAATGGTACTAGATAGCAAGGATGTCACCTACGGTGGTGAGTTCTAAGGTGATTAAAGAGGCTGATACAGGACCGGCATCGTCTTTCCGGCATTGGCACTTATCTGCCTCGCTATGCAGTTGGGCTAACTCGAAAGTATTGACACTTTCTGTGTGGTGCTCCTCCAAACGTTACAGTGTGGATTAATCGTCTCCCAGGTGAGGGGGTCGATTTGGATTTTTTCAGGTTTGTCTGAAGACTATCCTTATACCTTTCATTTGCCCGCCAGCGTTACGTTTGCTATTTGTTAGGTGACTGTAAAGTAGCTGCTTTGGCAATCTACTGTCGTCCATTCGGGTAATATGGCCAGTCCAGCGTAGTTGTTCATGGATTATGGTTGCCTCGATGCTCCTACAGTTGGTGTTAGCAAGAATACTGGCATTTATTCTCTTGTCTTCCCAGCGAACTTGGAGGATAGAAAGTAGACTACGTTAGTGAAAGTTTTCAAGTGCCTTGAGGTGCCTCCTGTATATGACCCATGTCTCACTGCCATATATCAAGGTGGGGAGGACCACTGCTCGATATACATGTAACTTTGTAGATAATTTCAGCTCCCTACAGCTGAAGATACGGTTTCGGATCCTGCTAAAGGCTTGAGATGCACATCTAATCCGATGCTGAATCTCTTCATCGATGTCCGCGGTGGTGGAGAGGTAGGAGCCGCGATACTAAAAGTGGGTAACATTAGAGAGGGTAGTACGGTTAAGTTGGAAGGATGGTGGAGATGTATATGAACCAAGGGCAGGCTGAAAGAGAATCTGACTCTAACGTGAGGTCGTCTGCATACTGAAGTTCAGTAATGGAAGAAGCCGACACATTTGTTCTTGTCTGGAGTCCACCCCGCCGGTTAAATTTAACCACCGTTTGGATGGGGAAGAACTCAGACTGGGTGCCATTGTGCAGGACACTGCAAATCATGCCAGGAGCTGCCTCACAATGGCGATGAATTTTAGTGAGCAGACAAAACGGCTGAGGGTTCACCAGAGGGCTTCCCTGTTGACCGAGTAGAAGGCCTTGGTTAGGTCGATGATGACCCTGTACAGGTCATGACGCTGTTCTCAACACTTTTCCTGTATCTGACGGGCAGCGAAGATCATGTCAGTGGTGCCACGTAATGATCTAAAGACACATTGAGATTCTGGGAGGGAGTTTTTCGCCTCAGGAAGAAGTCTGTTTAGGAGGACTCGGTCGATAATCTTGCGGGCTATGGACAGCAGCGAGATCCCGGGGTATTTGCCACAATCTGACCGGTCTCCCCTGTTCTTATAAATATTGATAATGGAGGCGTCTTTAAGAGCTTGGGAAATTTCCTCCGTTTTCCATATATTCTCCAGGAGAAAGTGAAGACGGCTAGTAAGCAAAGGTCCTCCTGCTTTATACACTTCGGCTGGGATTCCATCAGGCCCTGAGGCTGTGATATTTTTCATCTGTTTGATGGCAATACTGTAGCTACCTCATCCAGGGATGGAAATTAGCTGAGGTGGGTCAGCTTTTGATGCTGGGGGACCTGCTGGCTAGTCAGGACATTCACTTCGGTGTTTCGGTTGAGCAGTGAATGGTAGCGCCCTTTCCATCGCTGAAGGCCTTCATCGTCTTTAATTAGAGAGTTACGTCTGATGAGGGGATGGGGGCTGTGCCACGAGTGATTGGCCCATAAAATGTTTCAGTGGAATTGAAAAATTTGCACATCTTGTGCTGTTCTGCAAACTTTTGTGTTTCACATGCGCTTTTTTTAAGCCAGTCGGTCCTTAGATTGCAAAGTTCGCCCTGGGGCGCCGCTTTCTTCTTGCGGAAGATATCAGCTTTGGTCCAAGATGTAGGGTTGTTCTGCCAGTCAGTTAAAGGAGCGCGTTTATCATCGACGAGCACATTGAATGCCGGGTCATTTTCATCAAACCAGTCCAAGTGTATTCGTTCGATCTGGCCAAGGGTCTCTGCAGGTTTTTGTCATGTCAGTGTCGAGAATATCCCTTTCGGCACTGGGATTTGGGTTGTTTGTTGTCGGGTTGTTTATCAGTCCATGTTCGAGCTGCTCTCTGAAAGCATGAGCTACAGCTGGATCCTCCAGATGCTTAGCGTTAAAACCTCTTCTGTTTTGGGGGTGGTTCATCTTTCAGGACGCACATTTGTGCCAGAATCCAGAAGGGTCTTTGCATTCCTTGTAATGACCATAAGAGGTTGTATAGTTGATGTTGTTTTTTTATCTGTGATTATGATTATGTTTTCGACCGCATAAAGATGGCCTTACTGGGTGCGGTTTCCCAGTCACGTTTTATTTTTAGGCAGTCTATGATTAGGGCACCTTTTCTAGCCCCTTCCCCATGTGGGGTAAGCAGAGTGGCTCCTCGAAACGGCTGCTTTGTCGAACAGACAGAACCGGATTGCACCGCTGCCTAGATCCACACACACACACACACACACACACACACACACACACACACACACACATACACACATATCAGTCAGCCCTCAGAGAGATAAGACGTGTTTGGAGGCGCTCCTGATTGGCAGCCAGGCCAAGTATGTATACCCCCCTGCTATATTTTAACTCCTTCCCAACCTCACTACACCAGGATTTATCACCAAAACATTCAAGCGATTAGAGCAATGATTGGCTACCAAACAGTGATCCGATAGTGTATTCCAAGGAAAAGCACAAAAACAAGCGTAATTCACAGCAGTGTAATACCAGACCGTGAGCACTTTGTCTGACACCTTCAAAGTGCCAGTGACACGGACCACCGCAGTGTCTACATATTCCGTGGGTACCATGTTGGTGACTCCTAAGTGCCGGAGACAAGGACTCACAAGACAAATATTAGCATATGTTTACCAGTGTCAGTGGCCCTCAAAGTGCCGCCAGTGAGTTTATGGCCACCGAGGACGAGCACATCCGTCTGTCCTCAACAACAGATATCAACAGATGCCCAGCAATTACTTACTCCAGACGCTCCCTCTACCATTACACTGAAGTTCCACGAATACGGTATCATCTCCCTTATTTACTGCTCCCCAACGTCACTTCCTTAACTAATAAATTTGACAAACAGGCAACTGCTCAGTCGCTGCCAACGTCGTTGCCATATGTGAAGCTTGGCAAATTGTTCCTGAGACGTGTCACATTGGGGGATATCAACTATTTCATCACCTTCGTTCACATGGACGCAGAGGGAGCGTTGCCCTCTTATGCCAAGATGAACTACGCCTGTCACTCCTGGATGTTCAAGTTCCAGCTGATGTGAAGGCATAATGAGTACGGGTCGTGCCACGGGCCCACCCACGCCACACTGTTTCTATAATATACTGTGTGGCATACCATCCACCTCGCTCACCCACCAGAGACACTCTTATCAATCACCTCATTACTACCTCAGACCACCTCAGAGTTAGGTACCCATGTGTCACGCTCGTTTTATGCGGGGATTCTAACGAAATTAACACCATTGAAATCCAGGACCAGTTGTCACTATCACAAGTTGTAAACTTCCCCGCACACTGTCAAAATATCCTTGCCCTTATCTTAATTGACTTAGCGGACCAGTACTAACTACCTCAACCGATGCCTCCTATTGGGTGTGGCACACACCTATCAGTGCTCTGGTCTCCAGGTGCCACTACCAGCCAAGTGCAAAGACCCTACATCAAGACCTACAGGCCGATTACTGACTTTACTGTACGTCTCTTCGGGCAGTGGATAGTTCACCATCCCTGTACTGAAGTACTTAGTGTAGATAACGTGGACACAAATGGATAAATTATACTAATACTACCACAGAAGCTTACCACCACTTCTTCCCCGAGAAGTCTGTCAAATCACACCCAGCTGACTTGCCCTGGATCTCATCTCGGATCAATGACCACAACCGCTACAGGTCCCTTCTCAAGCAAGTCATCCGCGAAATACACACCGCATATAAGTCCCACTACCCAACCAAGTTGCAACACCTGAAGCAGACCAACAACAGTCAGTGGTATGGTAAGCTTAAAGAACTAATGGTGACGCAGCTGAGAAATCAAACAACCATTTCGCAACTATATGCCAGACGTTCCCCCGGCTTGATACCTGTACAACCAGTCTCCCTGCCTACCTACCAGCCCCCTTTCCCACTGACTTAGTA